GTGTGTCTTGAGCTTTGAGCTATGCTTATGGTTAGGCCTTTGAAAGTGACCGGCCAGTTGAAACGCTAGCCGTAATGACTTCTTCCACCCAACAACCTCGTGGTGGAAGTTAAAAATACTAACAATTGTTGTTTCTGTTATTGCACTGCCTTTGATCACATGCACTCCAAATCGAGTTCAGGAAATCCGCATCCGTGATCTGTCACTGGGCACGAAATTTCCGCGAATAAATGCGATACGAGTCGAAAATGTGGAGATGGCTGAGGACAAGAATATTTTCGAGGTATTTTTTTTACATAGTATGTTCCTTCCGTCGTTTTGCTCGGCTCGTTATGATCATGGGAAATTGGCTTGCGCAATGTATGCGTTTGCATTATCAATGCCCATCATAACTTTCATTTAAGTAAACGGTAGTGTTCTTCGGTTTGTATAGGAAAGTTGAAGTGACGTTACCAACTCTGGTGGTGTCCCTTGAGAAGCACGAGAAAATCATCCAGAGTGCTGGTTCATACGGTAAAATTTTTTGTTGAAGTGAAAACAGGAGTTTTTTTTCAGAAGATAACTCTTCTCATTGATATGGATTACACTGGTGGCCTTGAAACATCTATCGATGTCACCACAGTATTTGGAAAGAAAGCCAATTTGTCTATAAAGGTAACACATGATATTTCACGCGTGCTTTCAAATTTCCACGGCAAAGTTACTACAGCTAACAAAGCTCGCTGGACTTGTTCGTTTGATCCTTTCGAGGAAGCCATACAGCCACTGGACTTCTTCATTTGTCTCCACGCCTGAGTTTGGTACAGAAGTGAGTTCCAAGCGTTTATTCCCTTCGCTTCTTTCTGTTTGAACCTCGCATTCAAAATGTTACTCTTTCGTTTTGACTTCTTTGTTTGTTAACTGCTGTTTTAACGCCGCAGTTCGCGTTGCGAATGTTTCACAAGAATGCTGGGTTGTGAACAAAACTTTCGCCCCAGGCGGGACTAGAACCCGCACCTCTCGCTTTCCGGGCAAGTGCGCTACCAGTTACGCTACCGGGGCACCATTTCCGCCAACTCAGCTTTTGATGGTATACGTACCATAGCTTATCGGACTCATACGTCTAACGTAGTGAGGCGGTTAGCCGACAGTGGCAGTGAACCGGTACTTTTTGCTTTCCTTGATTACCGATGTATCACAAATTCTCGACAAATGATGAAATCTGCAGAGTGCAGACTGTAATATAAACCCTTAGACGAAATATGGGAGCGTGTTGGCGCTTGAGATATTGTTATTATGTTTGCTTTAGTGTCAGTTCGCAAATCAGGGGCTCACTGAAACGATTATTCTTGATAAAAGAGTCGATTCGACGAGCTTTGCAGCGGAAGCATGTCTGGCCGAACTATAAGATTCGCTATCGCCCCTTATTTCCAAATCCTTTCCTTCAGCCTTCTCCTCCACTCAGTAAGTTTCTTTGCTCAGCAAATAGAGTATTGTTTCGAAAACTTGTTATTTTTGTGTGTCGGTGATCTTTACCACCTGTATTTGCAGGTGCTTTCGCCCACATAAAAATTGAAGGTGGTCTGGAAGTGACGGTGTTGCAAGCATCTCGTTTGAGAACAGCTTTAGTTGAGAAGGATCCCAGCTGCTACGTTGTTTACTGCACAGCTACTTTAGGTGTGTGCCGATTGTAATTTGCACTGAATTTTAAGAATGCTTCTATTTTCTGTCGTTTAGATCACCGACCTTTCATGCAAAGTTCAACAGATGCTCTCTTGAGTGCATGTTAACGTTTCTCGCATGATATGACACACCACCGACTTGATTCTTTGAGAAGGTTAGCCGCTCGCATGCCATCAATTTGCCTCTCTTATTCCAGAATTTTCAAGTTTACGGATGCTTTTTTGTCTAGAAGTTGTCCATAGAGCTTGAAGCTGAATTAGTGAATGTCACACGGCTATTCCTTTATCTTCAACATGTATTAACTTTTACATGCACAAATATTTGGAATGGAAATATTATCTTAGGGCAGTCTGGTCTGAAGGCAAAGAAAATTTGAAGGAATTCTTTTCTCCCTCTTTTGCAGAGGGATCGTATAGACCAGCGGGACGATGACGTGTAGAAGGGTTTTCTATCAGAACACTTGAACGGATATTCTCTCTGTAATAATTATTGGTCGATTTTTAGACTGTGGTGTCTCTAGATTGGAGAATGTCGTGAGGAGGCAAGGTGCGTGAGCCTCAAACTGAACTGGGTTAGCGGAGTTGCAGCGGTTTATAGGAATCTTTGATGTATCAGGGAAATTTTCAGACAGCCATAAATGCGAATGGGAGCAGGCCTGTGCGAGTCGCCATCGTTGAAGAAGGAAGTCTCGCAGACAAGGCTGCATTCAAACCAGGTAATCCTTGCTAGGGGTCTTGGTGATTTAAAATTCTTCTGCATGTCACGGGTTTAACCGTCAATTGCTGACTTACTCTGCTTTGTTCTGGGACCGTTGGCATAATCTTGTAGAAGTTGTATGCTTATTTTGATTTCCGAGATAACCGTTTCCCTACTCTACCTTGACTTTGGCCCTCCTTGATTTCTTCCTCTTGTTTGAAGGCTGGTTTTTCCTCCCAGGAGAATAGTCGAAAAGTTGACTGTTCATTGAGGTCATATTCTTGTGGAGAGCAATTTTCTTTCTTTTTTTTGCCCAATCTCTTTACGGATCTTAATGATGTGAGGGTTATCACATCATTGGATTTTTAGGCGCTTTATGTAATGTGGCAAGGCTCACACATTTTGCAGGGGATACATTGCTTGCTATCAATAACGTGCCAATTCGAAGCGAGCGGCAGGTCGTTCGTTTTCTGCAGCAAACAATCGGGGACTTATTGATACTTGTGGATCGCAATCTTGACGACATTGACGACGAGGCTCTCAAAGGTATGCTATCCTGAACATTCTTCGCATTTTTAGAAAATTTGTAATTGCACCTAGAGGGTAAACTAGTTTGCTGTTTATAAGCTGAAAATTCCTACTTCATCCTTATTTTCTTTGTCTTCTTTACTGACCTAGTTCGTAAGAGTTGTTGACTCCCAAGAAGTTTTGTTCTTATAATAGTAACAGTAACGGGAAGGCTGAATTTTTGTGTTCTAAATTAAAGAATTTGACAAATATTCTTACTAATGCTATTTCCAATGTTGAGTGAAGCAGTGTTTTCTTTAACGTAGATGCCATTTAAAATTTGATAATGAGATCTCGTTAAGTAATTGTATTTTTGCTTGGGATTGCTGTTCAAAAAATGGACTCAAAAAAGATTCTCCTTTGAATTTCACCGCAAGGTCTCTCTTTTTCATATTTATCAGGGCTTTAAAATTTTCTGGCGCTGCATACTTTCCAATTGCCACTCATTTGCGTTTCATAACATTTCAAGTGGAGGGTTGACAGGGGCAGGATGAGTCGTGAGATTCTGCTCAATATTTCCACCAATGTGCTGGGTTACCTGCAATCCATCCATGAGAAAACTATCTTTTGAATATTGAAAGCGTGTCACTCTGAAGGTGAAATTTCAAAGTTATTTTCCTTTATTTGATTTTTTCATGGTTGACCTTCCTTCAATTGCGCAGCCGGACTGAATTCAGCCGTGATTTAGACTCCGAACATATTGTTGGAAGTAATTCAAACGGAAACAATGACGATGGATTTGTATGTTTGGGAGAAGTTGCTCCACCGCCTGCAACAGTTGCTGAAAGAAGAAGCGTTTCGCCAGGATCGGACTGTGAGTTTTCCATGCTATAATTTCCGCGTATACGTGAAATTTTTCATATAATAAACGCGCCCACCTTTGCTGAAGTTAGTGAAGTAATTTCGCAGTTATATCGATACGATACAGTTTTTTCTTAGTAAGCGTGGGTCACCTCATGCGTATATGATTCACTTTTATTCATTTTCGCGCGAACTCTCTCTTCTGTTTTTTTTTGTTTTTTTTTTTTTTTTTTTTCGAGGAAATTGTGGTAGAAGAGTCTTGAAGCGGGAGATTGGATGAGATTGGTTGGGTTCAGGGGATGTAGATGAATGTTTTCAGTGAAGACAGCCAAGATCCGTATAAGAAACTCCAAGAAGTCAGGAAGCGCAAAATGGGACCCCTTTCTTTGCCCGTTGACCTCCGATAATGGACGAGCTAGCAACCAATTAGGAGGTCGTTTGCACATGTTAACTGATAGCCGCTATCATTCCAGCAAAGATCATGCTTTGATTGATGACGCATTCCATGGGAAAGTTATAGGATACACACTCGAAGTGGAATATCTCATCCAAATGATAAGAACAATGATGCTGCTAGCAACACACTAATGGGCGGAGCACAGGCGGCGGAGGCGGAGCTCAGGGGGGGGGATTGGCAGCAGAGTTAATCGTCACGTTCGCGCTTTTCAAAAATTTAACGACCCTCCCCCCTCCACCTGAAGGGCACCATCACGGCTGTGTTTATAGTATATCATTCTGAGCCCGGTCGACACACACTATCTCCGCCCACTTTCCTCTGAAGGGCCGTTGAGGGGTGGGGAGGGGTTGGGGAATGATGAAGCGGAGATCACCAATTTTGCCTGATTCTCACCACTTCGTAAAACTTTCACCAAATTCGTCAAAAAAAACCGTCCAAACACAACCCCTTTACGACCTCCGTCAACCTCCGTTCCCACTATGATAACCTTGCTCAACCCCAAAATGCGACCCCCCTTCCCGAAATCACAAATGCGACCCCCTCGTTCATATAGTGCGAACAGAAGGTTGACCCTGATCGGCAGCTCCACGGCGCTGAACTTGCGCACTTTGGCCACGAAAAGGCCACATCTCGCTTCCTTAGGCCCCTGACTACTGCTTCCACTGGTGCATGTACTTCCACGCTGCACACACACTTTATCGTAATCTCTCGCTTTAATAGCTGGGTCAGTTTGAAAAAAAATATGAATTTACCACTTGGTCTGTGCAATACAAAGGTTCTGCGTTTACAAGTATGTAGGGGCAAGTTCTTAAGTAGTGTGATACGTTTTGAGGCTAGCTCGTTCTACCTTTTTTTCGAGTGCTATGATGAAGTTGTCATATTACAGCCCATCGCCGTCACAGTCTCTCCAATATCGCATCGGCTGCGTCAATGGTGAATACAAACACGGATTCGGTTGCATCTTCACTCTTGAGTTTAGGTATGATCAAAAGGTTTTTTCTGAATTCATATGTAACAACGAATGGAGGCGGTACCTCAAGGATGGTGAGTTATGAGCCAAGCACTTTCGCTCGGCCCGGCCCGGACGTGATCAAGGACCTATGAGGCCGTATTCAATCCTTTCCAGGGAATGCGTTCCTCTCCTCCCCACCTTTGGGGGGAGACAGAGAAGGGCTGCGTCATAGGACCACCATACCTCTGTGTTTCTATCTGCCAGGCAGTTTGAGCAGCGCGACTACCCTCCACTGTTGAAGCACTCTTTTCCCCTGAGGGGTCGCGCTGCTCTAATTGTATGGCAGATAG